TACAGTGATCACGATTTTGTTTGAAAAATAATTTGTCACCATTTATGTGACAAAGACTCACTCCTAGTCTAGGATAACACTCACGAACTTTGCGGTAAAAGTTCGACAAAGACTACAACAAAACTTATTTTATTCGTCTCTTATCTCTGTACAGATAATAAAGACATACTAGTTCTGTTCCACGAGCTACTCGTAGTAAGTTTGAGTTACACTGTGTATACAAGAGCGTTCTACCAGCAAATTTTCGAGTAAATGAGAGCATCTGAGAGAGCGTCACATCCCTGTCGAAATTTAAAAATGCTACACACACTTTACTCATACATTTTACTTCAAGTAAATTTTGTATTGTTGTGTGAATCAGCTGTTTTGCTTTGTATTTAAATTTTTTGTATTGTTTATTTGCGTGGAACTGGTGTTCTCATTAGACTTTACACAAAACTGTTCCATGAAAATATGTGAAAGAGCGTAATTTAGAACTTTTTTGTATTACGCGCGCAGTTTGTACTTTGTTTGTGTTTTACTCCAGTTTTACTACGAGTAGCTAGTGGGAGAGATCTACTATCACTTCGAACCCAGTACTTTCGCTTTTAATTGTACAATTATCATGACACTGTATCAGTGAACAATCTACATATACTATTAACACATATAACTGACAATAGATGCTATCAATATAATCACCTATATTTAAAAATTTCTGTTTGGTACTCTACCTTATATGATATATATGATTTCATTTATATTGGTTTATTATATTCTTAAATGATTCCCAGATTGTGAAATGAGTTTCTATGCTGTATCATATTTGGAGCAACATTTACTAACAGTTCACAGCAAAGAAAGCAAATGTAATGACTATCCAATGTATGCGTGCATATATTGTGGTGTAAACTTTTCAAATATCAATCACATACGAGACCACATTGCATTAGAACATCCTGACGAATTAGTTTACGCTTGCGAACGTATATTGCTAGCCGGATCTATGGTAACATTATATAACACGTTTACTAATTAATAATATTAATATTTCTATAATTTAGGATGATCTTTTGAAAAATTTGAAAATGTCTGATATATCTCTACCGCTGAGTTCAGAAAATATAATAGTTAAGAAGCAAGAAAATAAAGTGGATAATCAGATATCAGATAAAAGCGATACAAATAAATCAGAAAAAATGGATTTATTGGAGAATATAAAACCAAGTAAAGAAGATATTGAAAAAATTCATATCGATATGATAAGGCCATTGCTGTGGAAAATAACATCAAAGTCTGGAGTTCCGCCTGACAGAATTTTTTGTTGCAGCAAGTGTAGTGGGATATTTTTAACTTATCATCGTTTACATTGTCATTTGATTAAAAATCATTCCTCGTGTATTATGTTATGTCCACATTGCATGGTTAAAACGGAACTAGATTTCACACAATCGAAGGATTGTGAAAAACATTTAGAACAGCACATAATGCATCTATGGTTATGCTTTCATTGTGGCTACACATGTAAGAATGAGTCGGATTTGCGGTCTCATGCAATGATGGTACATGAAGCGGAAAATAATGAAATATTGGAAGAACTTCCTTTAAATACAGTATTCTCGTTTAAAATTTATGTGAAGAAAGAATTGAGTACGAACCGCTTAGATTTCCTTATAGAGTTAAAAAAAATGTTAGAAGTTCATTTAAAAGCAAAACAAACAACAATTCCTACAAAATGGATTCTAAGTGCAAACAATCAATTTATAGAAAATTTTCCAAAGTATTGCTATACGGAAAAATCACTCAAAGTTTGTTTTTTTAAAAATTGTCCATTCAAAACAGAAGACACTGATGAACTATTTAAGCACATTAACGCAACCCACCAATTTACCAAAGCATTGCATTGCTCGAAGTGTGTTACTAACATTACCAGTAATGGTGGTTGGGAGGAATTTGAAGAACATTTCAAATGTCATTTTAGCAAATTGTATGTTTGCTGCTTATGCAATTATTATAATTACGACCGTCAATGCGTAATAACTCATATAAAAACGGAACACAGTCAACGTGACACGATACTCATAACTTTAATTAGATCTAAAAACAATACTCACATGGGTATAACGATAGTGTTGGGCAAAAATAAATTAAATGTGTCTTCATTCTCCGGATGCTTTGTTGAAAATTGTGATGAACCGAATTTAATACCTAACAAATTTGTTACACATTTGAGTCAGTCTCATAATATTCAGTTGCAGTATTTCTGTGAAATATGTAATGAATATTTTCAATGCTTCGATGCTTCAGAAATTCATTTTAAGAGCAAACACATGTCGGATCAATTCGCGGTTCAACTGGAATTATCTACATATAATAACATAGATTTGGTATCTGGAAATCCATTTAATCTAAAAATCAACAGCAACGAAACACTCAACTTGGCTAACACCTTGGCGCTTAGCAAGGTGAAAGAAGAAGTTATTGACGCAGAAATTAATAATTTACTTACTCAGCTAGACGCAAATGAAAACAAAAAAAATCCTATAAAATGTATTGATATCAATAAGTTATTATCAAATGAGTCAAAAGGATGTCCCTAATTAAGGCATCAAAGGTTTTTTTTAAAATTAATTTTTTCATTTTGATTTTGATCAGTCGTAAGATTCTTTTTACCCAAAGTTTATGGAAATAAAACTGTAATATATTTACTCATCTGACATAAAATGTATGAATTTGTTTCACAAAGTGAATCCTTACGTCCTATATATAGACAAATTTAAACGTAAATAAAATATTTACAAAACTAATTAATTAAAATGTCAGAATGTTCTTAGTTATGTATAATTTAATAAATGGCACAAATTTGATATGCCAAAATGAATGTGATATATTACAATGAATCAATATGTATATAAATATACATATATATATATTATGTTAACACATGACAGTTTTCGACAAGCAAAATAGTTTTACAATTTTTATATATTTGCTAATATTAAAAAGCATTCAAAATCTTCTGTTAAACACTCTGTTTGTTTGTTTTTTGTTTTAATACAAACAGGGTCTAGAATTTATACAATTTAAAAATGTTTTTTGCAAAATTTGTTACATTTTATCATTTTTATAAATAAGATTATTATTTCTTAAACAGATATATTAGTTATTTATAATACCTTCTCTTCGGTTCTGTTGTAGACATCTTGGCAATAACATAGAAATATAAATATATGTAATTTGCCTCTGTTAAAACAATCATGAGTCCTGTAAAGTTACATGAAACTGGGAAAACCATATCTATTCAAACATATAAACTATCCAATTTATTATTTCATGTATTATCACTAATATTTAGTTAGTGTAGTTGCTAACAACACTAATAGCAACCTAATAGCGAACCAAGACATTTTTCGTAGACAAAACTATATAGAAAATACTTTAATATCAGAGCATGCATTTGCGTAGCACCTATTTTATGTTTACGAGTGAAGCTAAAGACGAAGCAAGTTTTTTTTTTTTTTGGTACGGACTGGACAGACCATAATAATTTTAATTAGTATAATGTAAATGTAATATAACATAGAAATATAATGAAAATATATAGAATATATTTATGTTTTACATATATATAATAAAAAGTAAACATTACAAAAAGTTAACAATTTTATAGTATTATTGTAAAAGGATATGAATATCCTCAAACGTGCCTTATTCCACGTTTTGTTTAAATAAAAAAGTAATAATTTTTATATTTTATATGTATTTTTTTATTAATTGGATCACTATTATTAAGTGGAGCTGGTTCAGAGATTTCGCTTATTTCTACTGTATATATATTTATTTCACTGATTATTATCACTCGGACCCTGGGAGCGCGAGAACACAAGACAACATGTCTCATTGCATTTGACTTAGAAAGTGCCAGCGCAATCATTATCGAATATATGGTAATCCAAATTGTTGCGTATCCTCCTCGTAGCATATTTACCTGGCGCCCGGATAGTTACCTGGCGTCCGCTGGGTAATGAATTCATAGCGCGTATTGCGAGTCCTATTCCCAGGACTTTAAGTTTGGATTCTTCAGCCGAAAGTGAAGATATATTTTAAGTATAATTCAAGTAAATTTTATGCAGCAAGGAATGATAACTCGATCTCACCAACTTTCTCAACTTACTTCAAAACAATATGGTATACATCAAGTAACTTTTTACTTAAATTTTTGAGCTGTAATTATGACTTCATTTTTGAACTATTGTTTTTGATATTTACTAAAAAGACTATAAAAAAAATAAAGAAAAAAGTTTTTTAATGACAAAGTAAAGAAAAAAAACCGAATATATGATTTATTAATGGTTGTCGAATCAGTGATTATTTTTAGTTAGAAAATTGATTGACCCAAACACACTCATATGAATAAGAATCAGCATTGGTAGTAGTATTTGGTTTCTTATTTTCGTTTTTGTTACAAATGTTTTGCTGAATGTTAGCTTAACAACAGCGTAGCTCATTAGCAGCGTAAGATTATAATGGCGAATGCAGTCAATACTTGAAAGATTGACTTCCACTAGAGTCGCTAAGTTAGTCTATCGCAAATCAAAAATTAACAGTTTATTCCTTAAAATCTAGAGATATGTCTTGTATGCTTTGGATTTCTATTTGTTGCTATTAAATTTCTGTTACTATGGATAAATCCCTTAGGACCATGTTAAAGTGACAGTCTTATTTCTTTTTGGTCATGACCTAAAGACATGTTAAAAGACGTTACGATTGTCACTTTCGTACATTAACTATTATTTTGATCCCTTTTTTGCTTAAATGCAAAAGGTTTTCATTTTTATGTGGATATGCTTACAAATCCACATATAAATATATATATTTTACTCCTGATAGGTATAAATTTTGACATTTACTGCTGTCTAACGTGACAAGACCTAAACAGCGTCGTCACCGACGCCGAAGCGTCGTCATTTTCAATTCTTTAATTTACATTAAAAACAACAACAATATATATTTAACATGATAATTATTATGTATATAACATGGGCGTTATAACATGGAAAAATTTATTTAAAAAAGGCAATATTAAATCCTGAAAAAGTCCTTTTTCAGGATTTAAAATATTAGTATAACTGCAGATTTCCAGATTTGAGAGAATCTGGAGAAAGTACTGCATTAATTATATTTTTGATTCTTGTTATTACTGACAACGGAAGATTTTTCAAACACATGCTATTGATTCCATCTTGTTTAGTGTATTTTCGTTTTTCTAAATTACTAACTGAAGTGCTGATTTTTTTATCATTTGTTGAAGGTAAAGTTCCTACTTCCGTAAATGATAAAATATAAGTCACTACTTTATTAATTTCCTCTTCATTTTGCAAATTTTCTCTCTTCAGTGTAGCACTAGTCACTTTCATCATTAATTGTTGGTATTACTGAATTGGTTTTTAATCTGAAGTACTTGCTTAATCTCTAGAAAAAACTTCCTCCATCTGCCTCCATATTTTTTTGAAAGTTGCCCCAATTTTCGTTTTTGAGCTCAGACATAATTTTTCTAATTAAATTTATTAGCTTGAAATCAAACACCAAAATTACACAAAAATGGATGAAAGAATTGTGGTGCTGTTGGCCACTCAAACTATAGACAATTT